TGTGTTTTGGGTGGCGGTTTCTCGGGGATATAAGCCGGCCTGCGAGCCGGCCAAAGTCGTCTTGTTCCGGATAGAATAAAGTACGCTTTGCTGAAATCACTCTCAATTTGCGTACTTTTCAGCACCCTTGTTCCCAAACCCACATTTGTCAAGGAAATGCAAATGTGGGGACAGACCGGGTATCTGTAGGAGAGAGCGAATGGGCGGAAGGGATGGATGCCTAGCCATTCCAAAATCCACAAATCCTGCCCTGCAAATTCCTCCCCAAATCATGCCTCCCCACCTCCCTACTCTATTGGGCTTCTGGTTTAACAGCCTGGTTGAATGGGAAAAGGCAATTTAAAATGGCCAGAGCCAGGGGCATGTTTGAAGGCGAGAACTGGCAGGTGAGGAAAGCATTATGCACCACTGATAACATGACTGTGCTCCCCCCTCCCCATAAAGAACAAACAAACAAACAAACACATGATTGCTAATCCCATGTCTTCCTTCAAATGTGTAGTTCTGTCTTCAGAAGTGCAGTTTCGAGAGCACTCACTCAAATATCTCCAGGGAATCTCTTGCTTCAGTGACATAATTGCTTGGAATGTAACCGTCTTCCCTGCCAAGTGGAAGGAAAAGACCAATAAGCCACTCTCCAAGGAACAGATGGAGACCCAAGAAGAAAGACAAAGGTAAAACTGAGTTGACAAACGGTAGAACACATGGCACATCTACACAACATATCGATATTACAGCAGTTAAACTAGCATGGCTTCTCCCAAAGAATGCTGGGAACCATAGTCTGTTTAGAATGTAGATCATGATGGGTAGCCATGTCTGTCTGTAGCAGCAGAAAAGAGCAAGAGTCCAGTAGTACCTTAAAGACTAACAGAATCTGAAGATCTGAAGAAGTGAGCAGTGACTCACGAACACTCATACCCTGCCACAAACTTTGTTAGTCTTTAAGGTGCTACCAGACTCATGCTCTTTTCTGTTTAGGATGCACAGCGTTCACAGTTAGAAGATCTAACTCCACCATAGTAAAAGGTAAAGGTTCCCTTGCTCGAAAGCCAGTCGAATCCGACTCTAGGGTTGCGGTGCTCATTTCCGTTTCAAAGCCAAAGAGCCAGCGCTGTCCGAAGACGTTTCCGTGGTCATGTGGCCGGCATGACTAAACACCAAGGTGCACGGAACACTGTTATCTTCCCACTGAAGTGGTACCTATTTATCTACTTGCAATTTCTTGCTTTCGAACTCCACCATACCACACCTCAAACTACAAGTACCTTAGAAAAAGGATAGATCCAGGTGGTCAGCTGTGCTGGTCTGAAGCAGTAGAACAAATTTTGAGTCCAGTGGCACCTTTAAGACCAAAAGAATGACTGCAGTCCGAACTAGGTGTTACATTATGCTCGTGACCACAGTGGGGGCTTGCAGTCAGACAGTAGCAGCAAGTTTCCCATCAAAACTCAGTTCTGAGGAGTGCGGAACCCTAAATCAGATCAGGACCACGAAGTGGAGGGAGGGGCTTCAGCCTCCCACCCCACCCCATTGTCACAATCTGAAAGAGCCGGAGGGAGCATTGAAATGGATAGAATACACATGCATCCAAACAAGAAGGCTGTTTCAGGTCAGGAAATGCGGGGCGGGGTGGGTGGGTGCCACACTCTGCAAGTGTGATTCTTGGCCCTCTATGTAGGGGGTACATCATTTCTGCATTCTGTACATCTCCTAGCACATTGCTGGTGTAGAGGAAATAGAGCAGTGGCAAGAAATCTGAAGGAGCTCTTGAATGTGGTTCATCTAGTTCCAACTCCACAGGAAGAAGGAAAGGCAGCTATCAGAAAGTTAATTGACGGGATACCAAAGCCTTAAGCTGTTTCAGATCATGTCCCAAAGGTGGGGGGGGGGGGGTTTGCACATAAGGCAGGGGGATTATAGTGGTATCTGTAACTCTCATGCAAGTGTGTGCATGCATGCCCAAAGAATGTGCTTTTAAGCACAAAGGGAAGGGTGAGGAGAGACATGGTACTTCCTAGCACTGATTACTTCCATGCTGTCCACTAGGTCTGGAATGGCCCAGCTTCATTCACTCAGTTAGAACAGAGAATCCAGACAATGGTGTTGGCAACCTGTTGCATTATAGTGATTGCTATGTTGTTTCTTTGTCTTTTTGCAGACCAGATATGTAGCCAATTTTTAAATAATGCAGCTATCGCATAAGCGTCCACAGGTGGATTGACAAGGTTCTATGCAGTTTCCTTTCGTTTAACTGTTCCGTTAATCTTCTCCCCATTTTCTGCTTCTTTTTGGCTCGATTAATTATTCCCTGCTTAGTTGCTGAATGATCAGTTCTTATTTTCGGGGAAGGAACCAAAACAACTTCCAGTGTGCAGTCAAAACTGCTATCATTTTGCAAAAAATAAAATAAAAATGTAATTTCATCATCTTCACCACCATAAAACAATGAGAGTGGTTTTGCCTACAAATGAAAAACAATACTCAATTCCCCCACCTCCAAATTTCTCAGTACTGATAATTGTTTGTAATGGCCTATGGCTAAATACAATAAAAACCTTCTCTCTCTCAGTACTGATAATTAACAATTGGTTTAGGATTGACCTGATCAGAGAACAAGCTGTAAAATCAAGGAACAAAAAGGAAATTGTAGAGAGGAGCATAACCTTAGGTGAGCAAGACCTTTAGTTCAACTAGACATGATTTAGCAGACCAATAGTCCAGCCTAGCCTGATCTTGTAAAAGTTTGGAAGTTAAGCAGGGTTTGCCATGGTTAGTACTTGGATGGGAGACCACCAAGGAAGTTCAAGGTTGCTACGCAGAGGAAGGCAGTGGTAAACCACCTCTGCTTATCTCTTGCCTTGAAATCCCCATGGTCCTGGGGTCACCATGAGTTGGTTGGGACTTGACAACACACAATTATTATTATTAGACATTACTTCAATCAATCTTTGAGATTGGATCGTCCAGTCTTTTAGAGTGGATTTGGATCATCATCACATGGTAAACAGAGAGAGAGTTTGATCTTCTGCTCCCGCACGATTTCACTAATTAAAACCACCCTTGCTCTTTAAAAGTCATTTAAATGAGCAAAATCTTTTGCCTTTCTTTTGTCCTTTAAAAGGCACGGGGAGCCCCACTTCGTTTTGCAAAAACCATATGGAGTGCGGAAGGGTGACATCCCTCCTCCCCTTCCTGCAGGGCCCAATCCACATTGGCCCCAATGCAGCTGTAACTGTGCTTTAAAAGATGCTTGGGAAGCTTCTCACCATGGATCTCTCAGCAAATGGTCCATTTTGACCCTCACTCCTGAGTGGACAGTAGGACCTTGTGGTTGTGAAGACAGACACTGCTGGGTTTTTACAAGGAATGTGTGTCATCACATCGCAGCTGACTTATGGAGATCATGGGGTTTTCAAGACAAGAGACTAACAAAGGTAACCTGCCTCTGTGGCGTGTCCCTGGACTTCCTTGGTGGTCTTCCTTGCTTAGCTTCCAAGATCTGGTAAGATTGGGCTAGTTTGGGCCTATAGCACTACATTAAACACTGCTTGGAACCACAGGCTCTTTTCAAATCACCATTCTAAACTGGATGTTATTTGTTGTTGGCCTGATTTCATGTAAAGCGATACATGGACAGGGATTTCATACAGTGAATTTCTTTCCGTTACTGAGCCATCTCTGAAGCGCTATGGTCATTTCAAACAGTGCTGCTTTTCCCCCACCCTTTTTCACTGTGCAGTCTTCCTGACCTTTTTTTTGGCCATTCTATAGCGCTAAATCAATATAGCACTTCAGTGCTATAGCGGCACCATTGAGATGACTTCATTGACCTCATGGAGTCATGCATCTCAATGGTGCTGCTATAACACTGAAGTTTAGCGCTGTAGCTCTCAACATAGAATGTTTTAAAAAATGTACGAGGAAGATTGCACGGTGAAAAAGGGTGGGGGAAAGCGGCATCGTAGGAAGTGCTGTGGGCATTTTAAACAGCAAACCACAGCGATTCAGAAGCACAACGAAGGGGCTGAAAATGGAAAAAAGCTGTTTCCCTCAAAAGCGACTCAACCACGCTTTGCTAGCCCGACACAAGCGGGTTTGTATGAGCAGGTAAATAAACTCCGCTAGCGGCCGGTTATTAAAAGGGGTTTGTCTGAAATGACAGGGGGAAAACCCATTAGCAGCCAGTTACTTAAACGGGATACGAAGGCAGGTTGAAAAGGGCCATCATTTCAGTTTCCCTTGAAGCAGAATGTGGGAGAGGAATGGCTGAGAAGGACGCCAGGGATCCTCTGCACTGGGCTCTCACCCGTTCTGGTTCTGGGCTCTCCACCACAAGTCGTTGCTCTCCTCCAATATAAGGTACTCTTCTCCCTTCTGCAGTTGCAAGTCCTGTTCGTTCATCGGGGTGTAGTCGTAGAGCGCCACAACCTTCTTCATCTTGGAAGGGGAACTGGCGGTTGGCTCGGGGGGCAATGGCTTGTTCATTATCTTTGGGAAGATACAAGAGGACAGCAAAAATTGGGGGCTCCCTCGCTCTGCAGCTTCCCCCTCCCAGTCAGACCCATCGCAAGAGATTTACCAGAGCCTGCAAGTCATACCTGTTCCTCCTCTGGAGTGGGCGGTAGAGGCTTCTCTACTTTGTGGTGAGAATGGACATTTCTGAAACCTTCAGGAACCGGAAAACAGAGCACATTGATCCTGGTGCATTCATAAGAGATGTTAAAAATGCTTTCAGCTTCTTTTGTGCACATTTGTGTGTTACCGTCATGGTACACAACACACACCAGAGGAAATATAACAACCGAGAGCTGGCATGATGTAGCAGTTAAGAGTGTTGGACTAGGATCTGAGAGCCCCAGGTTCAAATCCCCACTCTGCTGTGGAAACTCACCAGGTGACCTTGGGCCTGTCACATACTCTCAGCCTAACCAACCTCATCGGGTTGTTGTGAAGATAAAATGGCGGCAAGGACAAGGATTTAGGCCATTTTGGTTCCCCATTGGGAAGAGAAACAGGGTATAAATGAAGCAAATAAATAACAATAACGATAATTCTTATTTACTCTTAATACTCTCCATTAATTAAATACTCTCCATATAAAGCATTATGTGGCTGTTGGTTTTGGATGATTGCCAGCATTAGGGAGGAGGGACATGACCTCCGAAGGGCTTTGCGAACTGCCAATCAGCATTCTCCTGGTGGTCCCTGGCCTCAGAGATGTCTGTCTTACCTCAACTAGAGCCAGGACTTTTTCGGCCCTGGCTTCTACCTGGTGGACTGAGCTCCCCTATGAGATCAGGGCCCTGAGGGACCTTTTACAGTTCCACAGAGCCTGGAAGACGGAGCTCTTCCACCAGGCTTTTAGTTGAGGTGGCGGGTGTCCCCCCTCTATTGGGCCTCCCCTTCAGTGGGTCAGATCTTATTTATTTATTTATTTTTAATCTTTATATCCCGCCCTCCCCGGTGGGCTCAGGGCGGCTAACAAGGGCAGGCCATTAGCCATGCCATATATAAAACATATTAAAACATAATAAAACATCCAACATTAAAACCACAGTACTCAATCCATTACTAATGTCCTAAGTCCAAGATGGTAACTCCACAGTTCCAGATGGTACTCCCCTGATGTACATGTGTTAGATCTGATAGATGTGTTAGATCTGATAGATAGATGTGTTAGGTCTGATAGAGCTGTTAGATCTGATAGATAGATCTGATAGATTTGTGTTACTATCTGGGAGCCCCAATCTGAAATAGACCTCCTCTGTTGAGGCTTTGATTAGAAACATAGGAATATTATTGTATTTTATCTGATGTATTTAAATTGTTTTTAATTGTCTCTGTATTATAGAAGAGAAGAGAGATTGGATTTATACCCCGCCCTTCACTACCCAAAGGAGTCTCAGAGCGGTTTACAATTCCTTTCCCTTCCCCTCCCCACAGCAGACACCCTGTGAGGTAGGTGGGGCTGAGAGAGCTCTCTCGAGAACTGCCCTTGAAAGAACAGCTCTGAAAGAGCTTGTGACTGACCTGAGGTCACACCAGCAGGTGCACGTGGAGGAGTGGGGAATCAAACCCGGTTCTCCCAGATTAGAGTCCGTGCTCCTAACCACTCCACCAAACTGGAACCTGCCCTGAGCCTGCTATGCGGAGAGGGTGGGATACACAGCGAATTAATTAATTAAATAAATAAAGAGAAACCAAGGTGGTCTCTTACTTCCAGTTCGACTCTCCACAAGTTTGCAGCCCATGGCCAGCTTGGCTGTCTGGGAGCAGCAGAGGTAGAGGCCGTCAGTCCACAAGCAAGGGTGATATTTCTGCACCAGGTTGCTGTTATAGCGGATCACTGCAGAGAGTGGAGCAAAAGGGGGGTGTTTTATACAGCACTGGATTTGAATCACCCCCCACCCACACACACACACATGTCTGCGATTAAGTCTGTAGCACAGAACTCACAATAGGCATCTGATTGCCTGGACCCAGGTAGGGGGGGAGGGCATAATGTGTCTTTAGAACTCACCTTTCTTCAGCTGGTGAACCCACCGGGTTCGTAAATCCTCTGTTGGCGAGAAGACATAGAGGGGTCCTTCATCATACAACACCTAAGAGGCAGACAGACAAGGAAAAAGGTGCTTCTTCTCATGCACTGTAGATAGACTATTGCCTGTGCAACGTCAGGCTGGTTTGTTCTTTTTGTTCTTCCTGTCCAAACAACTAGCCTCGTTCTTTGATCATGCTTGGATTTCCAAAATGTGAATACTGGAAATAGATGCAATTAATTTTTTTTTAACGTGTGTGTGTCAGAAAAGAGGGTAGTCATGACTTAGAAGGTCAGATAGCTTTAAAAAAACAGGCATGACTCTTTGGTGCAATGGCAGGTCATGTCTCTTGGAACCATATCAGATAAGGGCCATATTACACCTTATGAATTTTAGTGTGTCAGGTCTGGGGAACAGCGACTGCAGGAATTTTTAAAATCCTGACTGGGCTCAGTTTGGCTCAGGATGACACTGTGTGTGTGGGGAAAACAAGACCCCCCCCCTCTTCCCCCACACCGTCCTCCTGAGCCAAAATGGACCCAGAAACTTTTAAAATCCCTTTCCCTGCAATGTGTGACTCCAGGAAAACCTGGACCCAGCTTGCCAAAATCTATACTGTGCGGTTTGGCCCTATGATTTGGCCCTTAAGTGAATGACTGCTTCAGATCATGAATGATCTAGGCCCACATTTTGGGTCCAAACTAGAAGGAAATTCCAGACTAGGTTCTAGGTGTGCCTTGTTGAGCAGGACATGTATTTGGGAGCTGGAATGGGCCGTCTCAGGAGACACTTAATCAGTACCTTATAGCAGAATGTTTTAATAGAACTGGCGTTACCATAGAGTAAAGTGAAATGGGAGCCATTTAGGGCCACAACCAAAGAATCACACCTTCTTCTTGCCCCAAAGGCCCAGATGTCAGTGACAGGAGTGTTGACAGCGAGGACAGCTCATCTGGAAAGGGTAGACGCTCTATGATGGAGATCTGTTCTGTCTCATTTAAATCCTCTCCTTTTTGCTGTGTGCGAAAGAGATGGAAGATTAGTGCACTGGACTCTGGTTCTCATCACATTGGTACTCACATCTAGAAGAATGTGGAGATTCTAACTTCCTTCCCCAGAGTGAACATGGCCAGAATCCCACTGGGGTGTGGGGCTAAACTCAAGAGAAGGCGATTCTTAAAAGCCTGTGGTTTCCATATAATCTCTGAGTGGGGTTAATTCTCTGTGTCTAGCCCCACATTATGTTATTTATAGATCCGCCTTTTGAAACAGATGTACACTGGCAGAGGTCATTTTGGGGGGGAACGCGGGGGAACGCAGTTCCCCCGGGTGAGGTGCAGGGGGCGGGGCACATGACGAAGCCCCACCCCCTGCTTCCGGCCGCCCCGCTTCCGGCCCTCATTCAGCCAGGAGGAGGCAGGAGAAGAGGGAGGGTAAGTTGCTTCCTCCCTGCCTCTCCCCACCCCTGCCTGTCTGGGGCCAGGGAGGGCCTTGGCAGGGCTTCCTCGCACTCCCGCTGGCCTTGCAGGTCCACCGCCAGGCCCCTGATGTCAGGGGGTGTGGCATATGCTAATGAGTTATGCTAATTAGCTCCCCTAGCTTTTTTTCTACGAAATGACCCCTGACACTGGGAGATCCAAGACCGCAGGGCCCCCATTGTGGATCAGGACTGTGTGGAGAGGGGGCTTAAATATCCTCCCCCAGTGCTATTTTCCCAATCTGGAACAGCCCCATTGGGGAAATTTGCCATACTGGGGAAGCTTCTGTGTACATGTCAGTTTCCCCAGTGGGCAAATAGTGGCAAGTGTGAGATATTGAGGGGAAATGGTGGCTAATAGGCAGGGGGGTTATGCACCTCCACACCTTCCCATCCACATGGTGAGAAAATCTGCTTTGGCTACAGAATGTTTGGAGAGATCAGAGTAAAGCAAGTTCAGGAAGCATCAGGGCAAACCAGGAGGATCCATGGAAACTGACAGAAGGAGGAGGACTGGAAGACAATATGCTGCAGATACTAAAAAACAAACAAACCCTGCTTCAGTTGGAGAGCCAGGGCAAAGCAAAACATCCCTGCGGGAGCAGCTGTTCTGTGTCTCAAGACTGCTATTTTTGCCCTGACCTGGATTGCCCAGGCAAGCCTGATCTTGTCGGATCTCGGAAGCTAAGCAGGGTCAACTCTGGAAAGGACTTGGATGGGAGACCTCCTTGGAACACCAGCAGTCGGGAGGTGGGGGGCAGGCCTTATTCAGCCACCTCTCTGAATATCCTCCAGGCCCCCAGCAGGGGTCCCTCAGTCACCAGAGGTTGCCATGACTTCCAGGTACACATGTGCGTGTGCACACACATACACAAAATACCCCCCCCCCCAAAAAAGACTGCTATTCCTTCCCAGATGTGATTGGGTAACTGCAGGCCAGAATGGCCTGAAGAACAGGATGAATCTACTTAAGCAGGGCTGCCTGGTGTGCCTGTCTATAATCAAGATGCACAAAATGTCTCACTGGGACCCGCCGTTCCGGGGGAGGATTGTTCTCTGGCATCACGGTCTCCACACAGGTGATTTTCTCAATGTCCACCGACCCCTTCTTACTTCCTCGTCGCTGCAAAAGGGAGAAGTGGGGGGAAAGTTTAGCTCCTCTGGCCTTGATCCAGTGCTAGTCATGAGCCACCCAAGATGCATGGAGATTGCATCCCTGTCTGCACTGAAAGACAAACTGGGCAAGTTGAACAGGGCTTAAGTGACCTATCTTGATGCAGACCTACATCTGCATCTCCGGTGTGCCCAGCGGTAGCCGCCTTCCGCACATGCATCTCCTTTAGGAAGAGCAGGACATCCGATTGCCTTGATTGCAGATCCTACCCAAACTGCTACTGAAAGGCAGGCCACAAATCAGCATTTGCCACTTCCAGGTTTCACGTGCTTAACATGGTTGTGATTGTAGATTTGAACTCAGGAATAGACAAGAACTTTAGTGAAAGATCCTGCCCTCGGCCGTCTGCCCAAGGTGGCCACCATGTTTTCCCTGTTGCAAGCAAAGCTTTTCCCAACATAGAGACACAATGGTGGCAAAAACACTGACTGTTATTTCCTCTTTGCCATGCAATGGCATGGAAGCCTTACTGGAGAAATGAAGAACTCTACATCTACTTGTTTCTCCTGATCCTGACAACTGACACATGGGCTGCAACTGTTCCTGAGCACTTGATCCTTTACCCTGCCCCATCCTGGGACAAGTGGCTTGGGCTAGATCAGGCCTGCCCAGCCTGTGACCCAACACTCCCTCTAAGGAGTGGAGTCTTGTGAGCAAAAATTCTACTTTGTGAGCTGCTGGCATTAAAGTTGTGAGCAAGCGATTTGGCGTAATTTAGCTTGCTCTGGAGGCCATCCTTCCTGAGCTAAGACAAAAATCTGTGAGCCAGAGGCTAAAAAACGGTGAGCTAGCTCACATTAACTCACCTTAGAGGGAACACTGCCTGTGACCCAACAAACCAAAGGCAGGCCACATACAATATATTGTGGCCTGCCAGATGCTTGGTGCCTCCTTCTTTTAGCAGTGGTGGGTGCACAAGCTGGGACATCTAGTTCCTGACAGACCACCGTACATGGCTGGTAGGCTGTTTAGCTGGGGAGGGGGTCACAGTTGTGCAACTTTGGGCTAAGCAGTCCATGGGGATCCCTTCATGGTTCCCTTCCTTAATATCCCTCTGGACAGCCTCCAGGGGGTTCCCTTCCGAGGCCTTCAACCATGCACTCTCATTAATTCGGGTTATCCCTAACTACCGCTGGGCCCTTCATTTTGTTCTCCCTCCTCTGAGACTCACCCCGCGCTCAAAGTCATACTCGTAGTAGGAGAGCTTGCTCTCCGTCAGCAGAAAGAGGCGCTTCTTGAAGTTGAGAGGGGAAGTCTTTTTCTTCTGCTGAGATCGTTTCAGAAAGATGCCTTCCAGGATAACGTTCGACATGGTTTCCTCCACCACCTCCTCTTCTGTGGTGTAGTTGCTGGACTGCTGCTGCCAACATAATGAGATTTAAAGGGCTACAAACTTGCTTTTTAGATTTTCAGGTTGATAATTTTTGTGCCTTGCTCAAAAATATTTATATTTTCATGGAATCATGAAGGGTGCTTCCACATTAGCTATTTCAAATCCCCATCATTCATTCATTCATTCATTCATTCATTCATGCATGCATGCATGCATGCATGCATTCATTCATGCTTGCATGCATTAATTCATTCATTCAGTCAGTTTTAATGGAGAATCCAGATGATACTGCTAGCAAACCAATGCACTCAAATTCTTCTGTGTTGTCTTCCCATCTTTTTTAAAGATCTGGTTTTTGGTAATTTAAAAAACCACCCTTAAAACAAAATTGGTGCTATTGCGGGTTTCTCAGAGGTCTTGTCCTTTTAAATTTTCTCCTGTTCTTCTGCTTTGAACATAGTTCATTAATTGCCAGTTATTGTTTGGAGGTGGGAAAATTAAGTCCTGCTTTGCACTCTGCAACCATTATGTGTTTTACAATCATAATTTTGTTATCACACTTTTACAATAATAGAAAGACCTTACAGAAGGCAACTGCTGCAAAGGGGGGGGAAAGCAATACTTAAGTCACCCTCACCCACCCAAACAAGTACTGATAAGTAACTGTTGTATCACATATACTGAATCTTTAGGAAATATTTAATTAAGCTGTAAAGAAAGAAAAGGAACATTGCATGGAGAAGTGGAACCTTGCCATACTGGATTTATTTCTGAGTAAATATATTGAATGGACTTGCCCATGGGGATGGCTTTTGCTGGATTTTTATTAGGAATATAGAGTGGTATTAACAGTACCATTCTAAGCAGAGTTACACCCTTCAATGGAGGTAGAAGAAATTGCTTAGGGTGGCACATTCCCTGTGGAATCCCACTTGTAATTCTGCTTGCAACTGCCGGCTGAGCACTGCAGAAGTATAGTCTGGAAGCAGCTACAGTGTCCTATATGCTAGGCTCCAGCAGGGAGTTCTTATCCCAGAAACCAGGTTCTTGTTCTGTTTCCTATGCATTTGAATGTGGCTTGCACAAGACAACTGTCTGGCAGATTGTATTCTTTTGGTCTTTTTCAAAGCACACCCTTCCAGCTGCTGCTTTAGTACCTGATTTGGCATCACTGTGCACAGCTAGAAATACAGGCAGCATCAGGTATACAGGCAGTTTCCAGGACAGGACAGGCAGTATACAATATACTGCACATATACTGAATTAGTGCCACAGGCACAGAACTAGAATTCAACCAAATTAAAAATCTTAGCTTTCATTTAAGGGGGGGGAAAGGAACTGTTCATTCCTTAAGATCCATGATTGATGAAATCTCAGAAGCTTCTGAGATTTTGGGTCCCATGCAGCATGGTCACTAGACAGAACTTTTGGCTGTTCTCCTCGTGGTCCTTTCCTCCATCCCCATCATCACTAACATAAACAGATTAGATTAGGAAAATCAAGTAAACTGAATAAAACCTTGCTTTCTGTGGAGAATAATATGGACAGAAACACTGCTCACATTGTCTCCAACGCTGCCCAGACATGTTTATAACACCCCTGATTTTGATTGTGAGGACTGCTACCCAAACTCTCCCCCAGTCCTCATTCAATGAGAGACCAAGTTCTGTCTGTTGCAGGCTCCAGTCACTTACTCTGAAAGAGTCTGTTCTGTTTTAAATAACTGAAGAGCTGCCTAGACACCCCCCAGCATGGGGCTCCAAATGAAGTTTCCCTTTGCTCCACCCTCACCCTGTTGGAAGTGAAGGACTTTGCACTGTCTCTTTAGTCTCAGACTTCAGAGGGAGACTATGTAGAGAGTCAGAGAGATAGGCCAGGACCCTAATCATCCTTTCCTTTCTACTGCCCTGGCGCTATTCCTTTGATGTGCCGACTGCTGCTCTCAGGGAATCTCCCTTCCAGCCTGACACCTTCTCTCCACACGATGCTACTCTTCTCCATCTCTATCCATCTTAGCTAGTTAGACTAGATTAGAATCCTGTTTCTATCCTGCCTAGAATGGACTCATAGTAGCTTTTGCAAAGATAAAGAGGATCCGTCTGTAACTTTGTTTCTTGACTGCACACACAAACCAGATAGGCCCTGCTGCGTTATGTGCCTTGAGCACTCTGCTAACCCAATAATCCTTCACACCCAACCCTCGAATCCAATGAAAACAAACGATATGGCTTGCCAAATAGACTAGTTGTTGGTTTCCACTATGCTGTTCCTCAGATTTATATGCAGTCTTTCTCCCAAGCAGTTTAGGACACTATACGTGGCTCCTACATTACCGCCACAACAACCCTGTCAGGTAGAGTTATGCTTTTTTCTTTCCCTCAGTAAACAGACTTGCCAACTCTGAGTTGGGAAATGCCTGGAGATTTTGGGGGCGGAGCCTGGAGAGGGAGGGGCAGGACATCAATGGTGTATAATACCTTAAAGTCCACCATCCAAAGCAGCCATTTTCTCCAAGGGAACTTATCTCTGTTGCCTGGATATCAGTTCTAATTCTCAGAGATCTCCAGATCCCACCTGGAGGCTGGCAACCCTGTCAATAAATGGGGACTGAACTTACAGATGCACACTCACAACATTTTGTCTGGGTCCCCAGAGCAACTGGTGCCCACAGAACGATGTCCATCGACTTCCGCTTCCCTCCACATAGCATCCTTGAATGCCAAGAAGGTAAAGATATGCTACAGCAGTGTTCACTCTAAGCTGTGCATGCGAGTGGCCATTCATTAACACAGGAAGCCCCGCTCAGCAGCAATCGGGAGCCATGCAGGGTCTTGCACTGTCCACTTTAAGATTACAGCAGTTCTATTCTGCTCAGGATGTGAACTGCTCCAGTCAGTAGGGGGCGGAAATAGCAGGAACATTGTGTTACGGTAGTATAATTGTTCTACTGCAGTTATCAGCAGCTAAAAAGAGCCCCACTAGCCAGTGAAACCATAGATTGTACACTACATAGCACCTTAATGTCCATGCATGTGTGATAGGGACAAGATGCTACACTCACACCCACACTCCCCCAATTCAGTTCCAGAGGCCCTGGTCATGAGTTATTAGACTGGATTTTGTAGACAATGAAGTGCAGGAGCTCATTAGCATAACTTATTAGCATAACTTATTTGCATATGCCACACTCCCTGACATCACCGGAAGTGTGTCAGAAGGCAACACCCACTGCTCAGGCTCCACTGGACTGTTTTGGATTGCTAGCTATGGGGGGGGGGAACGTGCAGATCTGCCCTCACAGAGGAGGGAGAGCTTGTACCTGAATAAAACTTGGTCTTAAAGGTGCCACTGGACTGTTTTGGATTGCTAGCTATGGGGGGGGACACACGCAGATCTGTCCTCACAGAGGAGAGAGAGCTTGTACCTGAAGGCGGGCCGGGGGGCGGCGGCTCTGCAACTTACCTGGCTGCTTCTTGCTCCTTGTGGCCCAACTGAGGGCTGCTGGGAGCAGGGGGCGGAGCTTGTTGCATGTGCCTGCCCCTTGGGCTCCTTACTGCCGGAGCTCCGCTCCTGTGCACTCCCGCAGGAAATGACCCCTGGACTGGACCCCAAGGGACAGAAATTCTCACGGATGTTTTCCAAAAGCATTTGTCTCTCCAAAACAGGGGCAATGATTTAGCAAGGACAGGTCCCAGAAAATGGGACTGTCTTTGGTAAATAGGGGCAAGTTGGACCCTCTGTACTTGAACGATCACAGGAGCGTGGCCCAGGCATTCTTGCCATTTTTTTTAGTTTGCGACAGGGTCCAGTTTTGATTTCCAGCACCCTTTGCTACATTGAAAAGATTACAGAGCACTCATCTCAGAAGGCGCACTGTCAACTAGCACCCCTAAAACACTGGTGCCTCCAGCAGCCACTTGAATTGCTTGTACATTTGGGCTGGGTATGGTTTTGAGCAAGTTGTACTCAAGAAAGGATCTCAGATGCCTGGAAATTGCAGCACCTTATCTCTTTAGGTTTTGATACAGCTCTTAATCACGAAAGAACGTGAGATAAGATGAAAGCCTATGTGCAGAGTCACAAAAACTGATTAAAATCAGGCACGATACTGATTAAAATTCACAGCCGGAGGGGGGAAGACCTTCATTAAGGCTCACCAGCATTGCCAATGCAATAGGTAAGTTTTGGAGCTGGACAGAACGCTTCCTCAGGCTGGGTGCCCAAGAAACCCTTTCTCGGAGTTTGGGCATTTTTAAGCAAATTGCAGCGTTTTAAGCCTTCTTTCTGGAGCTGCGGTGGCTCAAGTGGTTAAGACACTGAACTGCAGGCTGTGGAAGGTCGGAAGTTCAGCAGTTCGAGACCTGAGTGTGCCGCATGACGGAGTGAGCTCCCGTCTCTAGTTCCAGCTCCTGCCAACTTAGCAGTTCGAAAGCAAGAAATTGCAAGTAGATAAATAGGTACCACTTCGGTGGGAAGGTAACAGCGTTCTGTGCATCTTGGTGTTTAGTCATGCCAGCCACATGACCACGGTAACATCTTCGGACAGCGCTGGCTCTTCGGCTTTGAAACGGAGATGAGCACCGCAACCCTAGAGTCGGATTCGACTGGCTTTCGAGCAAGGGAACCTTTACCTTTACTTTAAGCCTTCTTTAACTTTGTTTACAAATTCAGTCTTGGATGGCTGGGAGGAAGTTCGTGCTGATCCATCAAAGCCGTGCCGTGTGGTAAACCTCAACTTCTACACTGGCATTTTGGGAAGGTACGAAGAAGCAACAGGTCTGCTTTTAAATATATATATGCTGGCTATTGGACATGACTGTATCTCTTGTGTATGCTTCATTTTTAAAGAATGTACCCAGCTACATGGGATAATACGTCTGAGGCTTTGCTACACCCCCCCCCCCCAGGGGTCGAAGGTATACAACACACACGCACTGTTTATTAGTCGGAGGCTTTGCTCCCCCCCCCCCCCCCCAGGAGTCGAAGGATTACATACCCACACGCACTGTGCACTCTCTCGCCTTTGGACAACTTCATATGGCACACTATGCAAGTATTTCTTAGAACAGAGCTAGAATCATGCACAAGCTAAATAAACTGCAGTGTAGAGCCACAGATGATGAGGGGGGCCCTAGATACAAAAATAAACAGAACTAAAAATGACTGAATTATCTTGGAGGGGGATAATGCTACAAAGCCTCTTAAATTTGACATTGTTTAGGGCCTCAGCATGTCTTAACCTAGCCCTGGCCCAGATTTTGACACAATGTGTGAATAGAACAGTAGTTAGCGATCTGAATAGGCCAGGGACATGCCCTGGGGAAAAGACAGAGAGAGAGAACGAATTCTGGCCTCCATCATGGAAGGGCTGCATGGATTTCTGGTTCCTGAGCTACTGGCACCCTAGCCTTGAATGCCATTTTCCTTTGGATACCACACATGTGCTCACGAAGGGTTACCATATTTTGAAAAGCAAAAAAGAGGACATATTTCCCGCCTATTTCGAACAAGTGATCACCATGACAAATCTCATTTTAAAAAACCCTACTATTTAAGCTGTGATAATCACTACTAACCAGGAATATTCCTAACCTTCCAACCCCAAAAGAGGACATTTTCCTCTGTTTTTTAAAAAGAGCCCCAAAGAAGACATCAAAAAACGAGGCCACGTCCTGTAAAAAGAGAACATCTGTGTATCTGTGCTCTAGTGTTGCCAACCTCCAGGTGGGGCCTGGAGAGTTCCCAGAATCACAACTGATCTTCAGACTAGAGATAAGTTCCCCCTGGAGAAAATGGCTACGTTGTCAAGTAGACTCGATGGCATACTACCCTGCTAAGATCCCTCCCCTCCTCAGACCCTGCCCTCTACAGATGCCACTTCCAAACTTCCAGGAATTTCACTCCCGAGTTGGCAAGCCTACTGTGCACATACATAAGACGAAAGAAACATGACTTGGATGCCATCAGGTGCTTAGGCCAAGTCAACGGATTTCGAGGGTAGAAGCTCAAAGTAGCAGGCCAGCCTGGCAGACAATTAAATTGAATAACTCTGATCTAGCCCCTACGAGCACGCTCACATCCAAGAACTCAGTGTTCAGGAATCACCAGTCGTGTCCACAACACAGCTGCACAATCTCCACTTTTATCACCATCATCTTCCCTTCCGCACCCAACAGATTTCCCCCCCCCTTCTTTATGGCCCTGTTCATCTTTGGCTGGCCTAAAACAAAAGACTCACTGGTCAGGTGGTCGTCACTCCTTTGCTGCACCCAGGCGCACCCAGGCCCTGTGGCTGGCTTCCCTCACAGGCGATGACTTCCCAGATGCATGCAGACTTTGGAACAACCTGCACATGGATTGCTGGTTCCTGAGTGTTTCAACGGTTGACAGCGGCGGCGGCGGCAGAAGACGCGGTGCAAGAGCTGTGCTGAACTGCAGGGAAGACGGTCACCCGGAGCTAACCCCACCCTTTCAGTTCCCCTTTTTTCAGTTTCTGGCCAAACGTCTTTGGTTTCCTTTCTGCCATGAAGCCACCTGCACTTCTGGTACAAGAAAGAGGCTCCTAAATGCAGTACAGGGCTGTAAGGGACAGTAGGTGTGTGTCTGCAGCGAAAGCAGAGAAGGGGAAGGGGTTGGGGGCCCAGAACTGACTGTATGGGCAGACAGAGAAGCAGCAGGACAAACAGGCAACAGAAATAGATGCCAAGTAAGTACACAACCCTTTTGGGGGTACCATCTTAGTCAGTGTAAGGATTGCACAGGATTCTTCTTCTTGCCAGTTTGGATGGGCAAAGTGACCTGTGAGAGATAGAAGCTTACTGATTTCTGCCCCAGCTAGGGTTGCCAGCTCTGGGTTGGGAATACCTGGAGATTTGGGGGGTGGAGCCTGGGGAGGGCGGGGTTTGGGGAGGGGAGGGACCTCAGCAGGGTACAGTGCCATAGAATCCACCTTCCAACATGGCTGTTTTCTCCAGGTGAACCGATCTGTGTCATCTGGAGATCAGTTGTAATAGCAGATCTCCAGCCACCACCTGGAGGTTGGCGACACTAACTTTAGCCTGATGTGGCTCAGTAAACGATGGGAGGGGGGCAGAGGAAAAACACAGGCTAAGAGAGGGAGTATATTCAGGATGGTCGCTGCCAATGGGGATGGATTTAGGCAGGGGGTGTCTTGAGTGGGAGCTGGCTGCAGGGCCAGGTGTTAGCGGGGTAAACCTAGGAACTCAATAACAGTGTGTCTGTGCATACGTAGACTGATGTGTGTGGAGTGACCACAACCTGCCCCTGTGTTATCCTAGCAGGGTGTGTTATCCAAGCAGTGTTGGTCTCCAGAGTATTCTCCCCACCAGCTTAGGCAGAGAATGCTTTTCTCAGTATGAGAGCCAGTTTGGTATAGTGGTTAGGGACTCTAATCTGGGACAACTGGGTTTGATCCCCCACTTCTCCAAATGCAGCTGCTGGTGTGACCTTGGGTCAGTCACAAGTTCTTTCAGAGCTGTTCTCTCAAGGGCAGTTCTTTCAGAGCTCTCTCAGCCCCACCTACCTCACAGAGTGTCTGTTGTGGGGAGGGGAAGGGAAAGGGATTTGTAAGCCGCTCTGAGACCCTTTCGGGTAGTGAAGGGCGGGGTATAAACCCAATCTCTTCTTCTTCTACGAAGCTCAAGTAGAGGGGAGGCGGGAGAATCGGAGCTCAGGGCCCTTGCAAATGTGGGGAGCATTATATTTTATAAAATAAAATAAAAAATATATATAGTATGTAATATCCCCAGATTTGCACAGCAGCAGTGACTTCCTCTTTCCAATTAAAGTCCTAAGAAGTACTAGACCTCCTTTGTTCCTGATTTTAAAAAATGGGTAAACAAAGAAAAAGTTATTCTGCTCCCCCCCCCACATGTTGACAGCTGTAGAAGATCTCCCCTCTGCAATCCTTTTGGATTATACCCCTGGCTTTTATAGCTCACCAGTAATTTGCCAGATCCAGGCAATGGACAGCCGTGTTGCTCTGAAGCAGCAGAACACAGTTTGAAGTCAGTGACTCCTTTGAGACCAACAAAGTTTTATTCAAGGTATGAGCTTCCATGGGCAGGCACACTTCCTCAGATACATCAAAATGGAAGGTAACAGTTCAAATGTAGACAGAGGCTGAACAGCAAATTAGCATATAACATGATGAAGATGTTTTAAGGTATGCGGAGACAAAACAGGAATAACAAGTTTCTAGGGTCAACAATTGTTTGGATTTAATTAAGGTGAAACAACAACAGTGAAGCAATATATATGTCAAAATAGGAGATAAATGTGTAAAAGTATCCTTCCTCATTCTGGAAGGTTAACGGAGACTCTGTTTCTGCTACACTCCATTCGTCTCCTCTCAGGCTTTTCGCATCAGTGCAATGCTGTGATGGAAACGCTGCAGCTGACACTTCCCACCTTGGAAGCCGTGTTCCCTCTAAGCTGAGTTACTGTGAGCTAGCTCACAGTCTTTTAGCCTCCTGCTCACACATTTTTGTCTCCGCTCAGGAAGCATGGCTCCAGAGCAAACTAATTTATGCAGAAGCCAAATCGCTCGCTCACAACTTTAATGCCGGTAGCTCACAAAGTAGAATTTTTGCTCACAAGACTCCACAGCTTAGAGGGAGCATTGCTTGGAAGTAACCCCACTGAGTCTAAAGGGACAATCCCCTACGAAAAAGTGCGCGGAGCGTAGCTGTAAAACACGCGACTCCCATCATTTCTGGAAATTCTAAAAGTTCTAACCCTCATTTCCGATAGGTGGAGCACAAGTTTCCCCAGAAACCTTCTGCCGAGCACGAAGGAGACGCTCTAGCCTGGCACTTTCCTCTTTTCTTTATCCCTGTGTATAAGCCACTTCCGCTTTGAAAAGCAGGCCCTTTCGGTGGGTGCTGGCGACGCTGGGAAGATGGTGAGTGGGCTGAATCCGGTGCCATCTGCCTCGGGGGTTGAGGGGAGGGAGTCGCGGGTGCAGCCTAGCGATGCAGTCGGGGTGGGCGACGCGGGCCGGAGGGGTCTGGTTGAGTTAATACCAGGGGTTGGTGACAAAGCGGCTATGGAGACGGACTCGGCCCGAGATTAGGGGAAGTGCGGCAGGCAGGCCCTTTCCTGCTTCTCTCCATTGAGAGACTGTCCGAATGCAAATCCCATGGATGTTTAGGCCTCGTTTTTCGCTAATGCGGCAAGCTGGCGCTTGGGCTGTACAACTTCGGGCCATAGGTGGGGACTCATATGCCTGTTAAGGTTGATTAAACTGCTGCCAGCATTGTAAAGGGCTTGATGTAGAGGAGTGCTGCTGTAGCAGAATGAGAGCTGAAAAGTCGCTAGTTCGAATTTCACCCCAGCTAGAAATTCAGTAGGTGGTCTCAAGACAACCTGCGCTCTTTCTCAGCCTGCCCCCCCCCCCCCATATGGGAATAGAATTGACCTACTGATGCACAAATCCGTGCCCGTGTGACCCCTTAGCCGAATTGGAATCACACAGTCGGAGTCCAAGGAGTTAGATGAATATCTGTTTAATGAATTGAAAACAGGGAATGCAGGGCTGAATGCCTTAGCACCCCAGCAGTTCCAAAACTGTATTCTGCCATAACCAGGAAGGGCAGAAGGTCTTATACCCCAAATGACATCACATATAGTTTATACATTGAAGAATCTCTAATTGGTACCAAGCAGTTAACATCATACAAGCATCATTTGACTTTAAACCTTACTATTGGTCTCTCATGTATTGTCAGTGACTACATTTGCTTATCTGCTCTTCAAAGAAATGGGAACATTAGGGAACACTGAGAACCTTTCTGACCTTAGTGAAGCTAGTCCCTCTTTAAACCTATCAGCTGTGCTGCCAGCCATTTACCCCTTTGGTAGTCCCCACTGCTTCAAAGGCGGGAAGCAAAACCAAATGGTTAAATGAAGACCCTTCCTTGGTGATACCCACTCTCTTTCTTCCAGCCGTGGAGAGCCATGGCTGGGAGAAAGGGGGAAAGGAAGCCCTTTCTCAGGCAATCCCTCTTTATCCCAGCAGCCTGTAATAATGCTTTTCCTTAACATATATATAACTTTGTATACAAAAGGTACAGTTATAAAATATATTCTACTATAAGCTGCTCTAATCAGAAGATTCTAGGTTACATACCAAGATCTGGATCTATTATAATTAAACTTCTGAAGGTACAGTGACAGCTGGCAATATATGAACATGTCAGAGGAAAAAATTCATTTTTCCCTTGTCCTACAATCCCCCCTCTTGGTGAAATGACCACCGTAAGGCTTATCAAGAGCTGTTTCCACTGGAACTAAGTGCTCAGGATACTCAGCCCAATATCTGGCAACCATCATCATTTGTTCAACTCTTGAGATGGGGGTTCTGGGAACTGCAGAAGCACAACAGGCTATCATGGTGGGGGTACATTGTATGCAAAGGCAAACCCCAAAGATCAGTAAAATTCCTACTGGAACAAATGTTAAAACAGTATAAACAGTAGATCCCAAACCAGTGAGCCAACTCCCGAACCAATCCCCCCCACCCATGAGAAGGTATAATTTGTTTTGAAATATCTTGGATATTCTTCATGTTTCGTTGAATGGAGTCTGAATGATCACTCAGGTTCAAACAACACATGCCCTCGAATTCAGCGCAGTTATGTCCTGTCTTGAGCAGCAGGTAGTCTATAGCCATTCTGTTTTGGATGGTGACTTTTTCGGTGTCATGGAGATCTGCCAGCATATTTCCCAAAGCCTGGGACGTGTTATTCATTAAATGGGTCAGTCTACAAGCAAGGGCATCAGTATTTTCAGAATTAATGGCAGCCAGGGCAGGGACACCGACGCACCGGTGGAAAACACAATCTCATTGAGGGATCACATTTCTCATCAATCTCAGTATAGCCATGCTTAGGGTGGGAAAGAACAGTTGTAGTTTTCCAAGGAGTTGGCATAACTACCATGCAGGGCGGTTTTAAGGAGTTTTATGATGAGATGTCATGCATGCAAAATGTTTATTATTATTATTGCGAACTCATTGGATGACAACATGTGGGAATACCATGTGCTGTTCTGGTTGCTGCACTTCAAACACAGTGTTGTAGAAGTGGAGAAGGACCACCAAGATGATCTAGAGCCCTTTCCATGTGAGGAAAGGTTGAAGAGTTGAGGGCTTTTGGATGAAGGAAAAAAGGTGGGCGAGGACACAGAATATGCACAATTGTGCATTGTATGGAGAAAGTGGATAGAACTTTTTTTACTCCCTCTACCATATTACTAGAACTTGATGTCACCCAGGGATGGGAGATTTAGGTGAAGCAAAAGAAAGCATTTCTTCACACCACACATAGAAGGGATGTGTGGGAT